AACATGGCCTAGCATCTATCTGTCTTAGTTTGTTTTCCCTTCATCTTTGCTTTTTAAAAAAAACCCCAACATAAAAAAACACCTAGAAGGTGAGGCAGGTGATTGTCTCCATGAGCTATTTGATACAGAGTGTGGCAGAAGATGAAGAGAATAGAATGATATATTTAAAAAGCCAAACCCAATCAAAGAATGCTTCCCATTGTTATGATCCAGTGGAATGCAAGCTGGGAATAGGATAGAATTTGGAAATCCGGCTCTGTGCTGATGGGTTAAGGCATTCAGACTCCCCAGTCATTTTAAAGAACACTTCCTGCTCCTGCAGTTTCCTGGCAAACTCTTCTTCCAGTGTCTTTAAAAGGAAGGCAAAAAGAAATTATGTGCTGGTTTTATATATAGAATTTACTCTAACAGCCAAAATAAAAATACTTGCCCAAACACTCTCTGCAAAGGAAGACACGACTGCTCAATAGTTAAGAACACAAGCTTTGCACAGTCCTAGGTTCAATCAAGTCTCACCTCAGCCATATGAATAAATAATTTGGGTTAATTACTTAAATTCTCTATATTACAGAATCATTTAATTCCTATAATGTAAAATAGTGATAATACCACTTACCTCATTGATTTGTTATGAGATAATGATGTACTTAACATATAGTAGGCACTCCAATAGATGGTGCCTATTATTACTGTCTCTCTCACATAGCGCTTCCCATTTTCTACTTTTTATTTTCATTATTGATGTACAAGTCTTTCCTTCCATACTACACTATAAGCTGTTGAAAGGTAAGACCTAAACCAGATTCATCTTTACATCCCCATACTACAGAGCAAAAATAAGTGTTGGATAAATATCTGAGATATTGTTGTGATCTGAATGTTTATGGCCCCCTAAAATTCATATGTTGAAACCTAATCCCTAATGTGCTGGTTTTAGGAGATGGGGCCTTTGGGAGGTGATTATGTCACAAATGTGGAGCTCTCGTGAGTGACATTAGTGCTCTCATAAGGGGCTGAAGAGAGAGTTCTTCCCCTTCCACCATGTGAGGATGCAGTGAGAAGTGAGCAGTCTGTAAGCCAAAGATGGCCCTCACCAGAACCTGACCATGCTAGCACCCTAATCCCAGACTTCCCAGCCTCCAGTTTATGGTATTTTTAATAGCAGCCTGAATGAACTAAGGCAGACATCAATGACTTTGTGGACAAGTGATTCAGGGATAAGTGCTGTTACACAGGTACAAACAAAGTATAGGAAAAGACGGAAGGATGAAGGAAGGTGTTTCAGAAGAGGTAAAACATGAGCTAAGTCTTGAAAGAAAGATAAGAATTTGATAGGCAGGATGGGGAAGGCATGCCACACAGAGGGAGCTAAAACAACAGCACAAAGGCAGGAAACTGAGGAGTTGGGATAAGGAATAGTGATTATACCCAATGCTAAAACATGGACTGGGAAAAAAGTGGCTAATGGGAGATTAAGATAGAAAGGTTGATTGTGGCCCAACTCTGGCACTATGTGAAGACCTCTAAGTCAAATTAAGACATTCATATTTTATTCTGATGGAACTGAAGATTTATCAACACCACTATGATAGTATCAGAGATTTTGTTGTTGTTGTTGTTTTTAAAAGGTGACCAGTAAGGGGATCTTAACCCTTGACTTGGTGTTGTCAGCACCACGCTCTCCCAAGTGAGCTAACCAGCCATCCCTATATAGGGATCCAAACCCGTGGCCTTGGTGTTATCAGCACCACACTCTCCCAAGTGAGCCACGGGCCAGCCCAGTATCAGAGATGTTTTTAAGGATAAATTCTGTGGTGAGGGCAAGTAGGCAGAAAGGAAAGATAACTAGAGACCAGAAGGCCCCTTAACACACTAACGAACAATTTAAGCAAATAGTAGGATAGCAATGGGAAAGAGAAAAGAAATACTATGAAAAGAGAGTCAAAAATTAGTTGGCATCTCACTGAATGTGGGTGTGAGAGAAATGAAGAGCCCAGATGTCAACTGAGAGAACAGGAGTACAGAGAACACCTGGGGCCGGGTGGGACTGCAGGGAGAGTGGAGAGGAGAGATGGAGAGGAAGGAAAAATGATGTTGAGTTTGGTCTTATCTCCACTGAGTTTACATTCTTTAGTCAACATTCAACAGGTTTTGATTATTTACAACATACGAGGAACTGTTCTAGAAGCTGGGTATACACAGTGAACAAAAAAATAATGTCCCTTCTTTTAAAGAGCTTATATTCTCACAGGAGAAGACAAACAATAAACAGATATGTCTCGTAGTGATGAATGTTATAAAGAAAAACAAAGAAAGAAGAGGGTATACAGAATGTCTGAGGTATGCATGGGGGCTATTTTATACATAGTGATCAAAATAAGGAAACAATAATGAAATAATATTTGAACAGAGGCCTGAATGAAATGAAGAGGAATAGAATACCCATTAGAAAATGGGAGTTTAGAGCTCAAATTGATAATAAAAAAAACCAATAAAAAATAATAGCAATAAAACCATCCATTGAACCTGACTATGGCTCAGGTACTGGGATAAGTGCCATACACATATCACATTGTTTTAAACTTTCTTAACAATCCCAATTAGGTAGGCAGCATCACCCTCATTTTACAAATGAGAAAAACTGGGGCCTAAAAATGTTAAGTGACAAAATTAATCAGTAAGTGTCAGCACTGAGATTTGAATCGACACCTTACAAACTTTAGAGTTTGTACTCTATTCAAACCTTACTATTCAAGTTTTGGAATTGTCTTTAAATATTGTTTTTAAATATGCAATGGCTTTTAAATATATACAAGGTCATCAAGGTAAAGAACAGAAATAAAGGTGTAAAACTAGAAATGTTCACTTATCAGGTGACTGGAAGACAAAGAAAAGGTGATGAAGAACGGAGTATGAACAGAGCTATGTTCGGAGTCTGGCAAGAAGAGAATTTTAATAAGAACAGTTAGATAAGGCCCTAGGATTTGGTTATTAGCAACTCACTTGTGACCACTGTCAGCAATTTCAACCAAGGAGTTTGAGATGGAAGCTTGACTGCAAGAAGGTAAAAAGAGACACTGGAGAAAGGCACTTTTCACTGCTTACCTCCCGTACCTTTTCAATTCTGAACTACATGAATGCATTACCTACTCAAAAAATTTAACAACAAATGAAATTTAAATTTAAAAGCCACGCCATAAACTGAGTCATTCAAATGATTGATTCATTTCACTTTCTCTGGAAACTTCTGGCACATAAAAGGGGCTAAATATTTCCTTGACTGATTGATTGGATTAATGGAAGATAGGAATGTTTGAAATATATAGCAGGCAGGAAGCCCAAAAGAAAACAAAGGTTTAAGCTTGATGGTTAGCAAAGGGATAGGGATTATATAGTGATAGCAAAAACAGAGTTGAAATGATTAACCAATGAGACCAGGCTAGCAAGGAGTCAAGCCCAAACAAGGGAAATGAAAGGAGGAAGGGAAGCCATGCCTATTTTACTAGATGTTAAATTTACATAGCATACGAGGGCCTTGTAGTCTGGCTCCAGTCGACCTGCCCAGATTCAGCTGCCATCACTTCCTTTCTTCCTTTTCTCCCTCCCTAACGCCTACACACATAGGCACACTTCCCCAATGCTCCAATGACAGGGAACTATTTGCAATTCTCTGTACACATCATTTTCACTCATCCTCTTGTCTTTATTTAAATTGCTCCATTCCACCTCAATGTCCATCTGCCTAGCAGGCTCTTACTCTCCTTCAAGCCTCACTTGGCTTACAAGGCACCTCCTCTCTAAAGCCTCCCTGACTTTCCCAGGCAGATTTAAGCACCACTCCTTCTTTGCTTATAAATTCTGTTTCCTTCCCCTGTATCTTCTACTTACCTCCTTCAGAGTAATAATACTACCAATTTGAAACTGCCTGTCACTAGATTCTGAAACTTTCGGGGACAGGGGCTTTGTTTTTTCATTTCTGCACCTCCTGTCCCTGACACTACACCTGACACATAGTGAGTAAAGAGCCAATAGGCAGGTGGATGGATGAGTACAAACATATCATTTTAATTAAAGCTTTTAAAATTACCTTCTTCCTTGGTCTCAATTTCTCTCTCCACTCTTTTAATTCTTGGCTGTGTTCCTCATCTAACTCCTTTAATTTCTGTGTCTCATGCTCAACCAAGAGGTGGCATTTTTCATTCTGAAAATAAAGTTTGGATTAAAAGAATTTCAATAAACTAAGCAATTTTTCACAAATAAAATTACCTTCCAACATAATAAATTTACTCATCAAACATCAAGCTATTACTGACCCTCTAAAAACCAAGGGTCAAGAATTATGAAATGAGTCATAGCATCAATTTTTGCAAGTTTAGAAGCTAGATCTGTTACCATACCATATAAAAAGAACTTAAATAGAAAGAATTAGTTTGAGCCTTTGTTTTTGCTTTCTAAGAATGTCTGCCCACAAAACTGACACTTCAGAAGGCAGACTGCCTACATTTTACCCACTGGCACCAAAATGTGGGATTAGGAACTATAGTATTCTACTCTAGTAAATTAAGCAAACATACAGAGTATCCACACTGTATACACTACTACGAAATTCTAAACATTTTAGGCTACATACTAGATGGGCTGCACACTCCAAATAAGGTCTAAAATTAGCCCTCTCTAAAGAAACCTTTATATTTCTCAGGAAAAGAATTCTTGCATATTTATCACTTTTTTCAAAAACCTAAAAGAAAATCAACTATTTTTCCCAGAATGGAAAAGAAATTTTAAATTCAGAACCTGACAACAAAACTGACTACATCATTTTGAAACTTTGCACGTCTTTTGCACATATTTTTTTTCTTTTTTTGGAGGGGTGGGGTGAAGCACAGTTGGCTGGTATAGGGATCAAACCCTGGACCTTGGTGTTACCAGCACTATAGTCTAACCAACCGAGCTAACCAGACAGCCTATCAATATATCAATATTGTTTTTGAAAGTCTCAATCTCTTAGGTTATAACTTAGCTTCCTGTTTATATTAATCATGGTTATACAAAATCTAAACAAGTGTCTTTGACACTAAAATGATTTTCATTTGTGTCTATACAGGAAACACAACCTTTAAATCCCAGCATTCTCCAAAGTAATGTGCCATTTTCTCTGGTTAACTTTTTTTCTCAAAACCAGCCACATGTACTACCCATCTATTACAAGCTTTGCTGCCACACTGCTGTATCTAACCTGTAGTTGATGCAGTTCTCGGACGTTGGCTTCACACTGCAACTGAAGATCTCGCATTTGATTTTCATGTTTTTGATGCTGAGCCATTCTCTCATTTTTCTGCCTCTTTTCTTCTTGTGCAGCAAACTATAAATAAGAAAAAAAAGTAAGTTATGGTTAACAAGCAATGTAATTTCTACATATTCTGAAGGTGTAATTAAGGAATTTAATAAAACTTAAAAGTACAATAAACTAAAGCTGCAAATAATAATATGCTGTGACTCAAAACTGGAGTCTACATCATGGCTTTGGAACAGAAAGGGGACTTCTGATTAAAACCTTGACCCTCCTATCTGTTAGTGACCTCAATTAATTTGTGTATGGGACCTGTGACTGCGGAAGTATCACAGTGAGATCCCATTTTAACTTAAAAAGCTGTCCAAGTCACCTCATTCCCAAGATTGATCTCAGGACCAGTCTAGCCCAGGATCTGGTGGGGAATATATGAGGGAGGGCTTTGCCCCGTGACCACAACCCTGGGATGAAATAAGTTGGTGTATGCCATTATCTAGAGACAGCCCATAGAGTTAAAGTGAACATCAACACACCAAGGTGGCTCTAAATGTTTACAAAACAATTATATGGCACTTCTAAAGGCCATTCACATTTTAAAACCTGAAAGAGAAGACAGTACTTTGCTTACTTACCTGTTTAATTTTGTCACGATCCTGATCTGGTGTGGCTGTTGAGTTAATTCTCAAACTTTTCTTAAACATGGCCATCCGAGTCTTGGCTTCACTGCGCTGAATCTTGGGCAATCTTGCTCTTTCTTGAGTCTGTCTGTTTTTCATTTCCTCAATAAGTCGTTGATTGTAACGCTGCATTTGTTCTGTTTCCTAAGAAAGTTTTAAACAGACTCCTGTAATGCAGATATAACTTAATATTCAATATCCACACGTATGTTCAAACATATCATTTTATTGTTTCCCATAACTACTCTCTCCCTTGTTGCATAGTGACCAGAAAAATATTAAGCAAAAAATAATTTATAAGAAAACAAAGTTATTAGTAACAAGCCTTAAATTAAAACTCTCTTTTACTAAGTTCAAAGAGTCCATATTTTTAATTTACTTGAACCACAATTGGAGCCAAAATAGCTACCTTCAAAAGATAAGATGAAGATTACAATGTATAAGAAATCTTTAAGCATTGTAATTAGTTACCTTCCTTGTAATTTGTAGAAAAGAAGTTTGTAATCATGATCAAGATACAATCGATTACTTCAAACTTCATCAAAAAAATTTTAGGATAAAAGAAAGACAGAATGGAAATCTAAAACTAATTCTCTAAGAAATATAAGCTTCAAAACTGCATAGCTTCACAAACTTTAAAATTAACCAAAAAAAATGAAGTTTTCCTTTCAATAACCTTCTCATGGCGCTTAAGTAGCTGATGCCTTTGCATGAAATACTGATCTTTAAGTTGCTGTTTGAGCAGCTGGTGTTTTTCTTGTAAGTGTCGTTCTTCAAGCTCCCAAATTGCAGCTTCTCGGGCTAGAAGAAGACAGCAATTTTCATAATGTCACTTTGCTCTTTTTACTAACATACTTTGCTCTTCACTTAATATTTACATAAAAATGTCCTATATATATTAACTTATACACACACACTGACATTCTGAGCTATCAATAAAATTTCACCAGTTTAAAGATAGTATCTATTACCACTTTCCATTCTGTTCTAATATTCTATGAGAATGTCCTACTCTGAAAACCAAAATTCCATTTAATCATCTTAACAAGAAAGAAAAAAATCTAAGCTAATTTGTTAAGGGAAATGAGTAATGAAAATCCCATTCTATCATGTAGCCATTAAATATACCAACAATTATGAGGCATAATGAGTACACAAAATTACTCATATATATTTCTATCATCATCTGGACAAGATGTTTTAAGGATTATAGTGTTATGTTTACTTCTACTGTCATAAAAGAATTCCATATCTTGCAGTGTTTCTTAATTTTAAATAAGTTTTTTTCCTCTTATTTACCACAAGTTTATCTTTCCCTTTACCACCCTAGTAAAGCATTCAAATGTTTTCCAAAATATATCCCAGCAATGCTTTTGAGCATTTACACACACATATATATATACATACACTGTATATATTTATATACACTATATATGTACATTTATATACAATCACTTTATATACACACACATGCTGCAGAATTTCATTTACCTCTCATTTGAGCATTTACACACACATATATATATACATACACTGTATATATTTATATACACATATATTTATATACACTATATATATACATTTATATACAATCACTTTATATACACACACATGCTGCAGAATTTCATTTACCTCTCATGAGCTGTTGTTTGTTGTTCAGGCACTCTCTTTCAATATTGGCTAATTCTGCCTTCTGTTGTTGGATGATCTTTTTCAAAGAGCCATCTAATTCTTGTTGTTGCTTCTGAACAAATTCTTGCTCCTATTAGACACAGTTAACCATCAGTTAATTAGTATCTACTGAGCTAAACATCTATTTATCTATATGACTGTATATATTAGTGGTTAACAAGATTTCTAAGCCAAGTTTGCAAAGTTAGCTGGATTTAAAAATCACCAAAATTATATAGAGTATGTATATAATATAAATGTATTGGTCACCCAATTCAACCCCAGAAAAAAGTATTAGAATACATAACATTCTAAACTCACTACTGAGAAATCATACACACAAAGAAGCTTATATCCTACTCATAATTAAAATGCCCTATTTTACTAGCATCTTTGGGAAAATAACAAATTCACAGCCTCTAAAATTGACTATTCATTCCACTATGGTGTGACTAAAATAAGAATAAACAAGAAATGCCCTTTAGGAAGAAAGGCAATAAAGAGCTCATAAGTAAAACAGATATCAGAATTTTAAGCTCTTTATTTTTTTAAGAAATAAAGAGTTAGGAAGAAATACCATGGGTATAGTAACAGAGGAAAATAATTTCTGTATCTACAGCTTGTGCCTGAAAAGAAGAATAGGTTGAGGACTTATTGAGAAATAATGTATTGCTGGAAAAATGTAAACTAGGAACAAAAGAGTTACATATTATAAATCTATAAACAAAATTCATATAATCACAGAATCCTACCAACATGTTTGGGGTGCATTAATTCATTCAACAAATATTTACTGAGTACATACTATTTTCCCAAATGCCAAATTTATTCTTTAAAAAAAAAAAAAAA